GCCTGCCTGCCTGCCTGCCTGCCTGCCTGCCTGTCGGACTGTCTGCCTGTCGGACCTGCTGCCTGTCGGACTGCCTGCTAGTCGGGCTGTCTGCCAGTCAGTCAGTCATATATAATCAGCAATTTTTTATATCCGTATTCTAACACAAAAGAAACAATGGCGAACTGACTAGTAACTTTGCCTGCCATGGATGTTTGTGAAATATTGTAATTAACTGTGTACTTCTAGGACATACATAGAAATAGCATGTTCTATAGTAAAACAATGGTTTGGGATACAAATTATTAATTGTGTTGTGTGTTAATCTTTGCAGGGAGAAGGTGTGCATCCTGTGATTTCAACCTGGACCGTCCGTTATCTCATATGAAAAATTAAATCAACTGAAATGTGTTGTGCTAAATTCTGATGACCAAAAACTAATTTGGCTGATTGCCTGAGCATTTGTGGAATTGTTTAATATTTTGTTTCTAATATAACACTGTAGCAGCAGCTTTTCATATTGTTACAAAGAAATAGATATACCATATCAGCACACATAATTTGTGTGTAATGAAGTGTAAGTAAACAAAGAATCAAATTATAAAAATATCATGATAATATACATGTATATGAGAAAATATGCATGTTTATTCATGTATATATGGATGAATGAGTGAAGTTTGTATGCATACATGCATATAAGAATTAGTTGTTTGGGCTGGTATTCACAAGTGAATGCAGCATTCTACTGTGTCTTTTGCCAACTAATCCCATTTGTCTGAATATGCTGTGTATGTATAAAACTAGTGATGTAAAAATGCAGATGTGTTTTACAGTGGCATAAGAGAAAATAATTTTATATTAACTATAGTGAACACCTGTATACTATAAAAAGAACTGAGAATTTTGAAGCAATTGACTATAGAATGCAGGTTAATGTATTGTTCCCGTAGTTCACTGTCAGAGATTGTTTTTTGGCCATTAACATTCTTGTTTAATGACTGATATATCCTTCCCATTGGTATTTTCATAGTAACTTTGTACTATTTGCAGAAGATATTTGAAGTTATGTATCTTTCTTAGGGGAGAACATCACTGATTTTTGAAAGAATCTTGACATGTTAATAAAATGCAAGTGCAGCTTCTGTCTTTAAAAAGAACATTTTGATGATAGTGTTAAATCCAAGTCAAGTTAGAAAACAACTAGAGCTATTTATGAATAATTAAAAAAGTTATAAAAATATATTTGCTATGAACTGTTGAAGAATTTAAGTGAACTTAAATATCTCAAAATATATATTGAAGTTTGGATGCCTGTTGAGAAGAAATAAATCATATTTTCAATTTCAACCAAAGGTGTATGTTGTAATAAATGTTAATTTTCTATAGTTTTTCAAGCAACTTCTTTTGAATATTCTGTGTTTTCAAAACTATATTTATTGATTTTTAATTGTATACAAGATGTCTCTTGGTAATTTCAGTGAATTTTGTGCAAGAAATTACATATGAATGTTTATGCAGTATATGTTGAAGGACAGTTAACTGCAATTTTCGTAAACAGAAAGTACTAGAATATTCTGTCATGCGAAATGCCTGTGCTCTTCCCTCTGATGTAACTTTATGTGCACTCCTCATCTCCCCAGAGATCACTTTTATTCAATTTGTTGAATTTCAGTTTATTTTTGTCACAGAAGTTATTGCTGTGATTCTAATTTTGTGCCAATTTTAAAAATAATTCATGATAATTTTGTATGTTTTGTCAATCAGTTTATCACTCTCTTTTCTTTCTCTCTTTCTTTCTTTCTTTCTTTCTTTCTTTCTTTCTCTTTTCATTCCTTTCCTTCTTTCTTTCCATTCTTTCTTTTTGTGTTTGTTTGTACATTCTTTGCCTTCATTTGCAGACTGCAGTTATTGAGTGTAGATAGGTTTTCATAGTGGCATCTTGTTTTCAGTAAATATATCACTTTGAATTGTCAAAAGCTAATTTGTGCCAAGTTTTTAAAATGTTCATAATTTTTTTAATAAAAAAATTCTCTCTGAACTTCGGTACTTTCATGATTTTAGTTGTGGGTTGCTGATATTGATTGTAGATAGGTTTCCTTAATGCCACTACGTTTTCAGTTTTTCTATTTTATGTTATTATTACTGTTTGTAATCTAAGCATTGTGATTGATTCACAGTTATGTACCTAGTCCATATAACTGTGTCATCATCTGTTGCATGATAGTTGTTGTTGATTGTTAATGACTGTTGGAGGAGTCTCTTCCCCTTCCAACACCTAACTATGCCAATGCTGCAGTGATTGTTTTGCACTGTGCTAGAGCACAAAGAGATATTGATGGTTTTAATACCAACTATGTTACCAAGTCTATGTACAGAAAACATGCCGTTTCCTAGTCCCACTGTGAGTGCACTTGAAAAAGTGTTTTGTTGATGTCAAAGGGATATGTCATGAAGAATGTTTATACTATTGGTCGAGTGTTTAACAATGCATGTCATCATTGTAAGCTCTTAATGAGTGACGTCAAAGAACTGAGACATTCAAAGAAGTGGCGATCAAACTATTTCTTATGATAAAGTCGAAATGTTAGTTACCGAATATTGTGAATTGTAATTGATTACTACTGTAACCAAAGATGTGTCTTAAATGTTTGAGTTGAGTATGTCATGTTTGTCTTAATAGTCCACCAGTGTTCTGTTGTGTAATTGATAATATTGTACTTAGGGAGGTGGATCATCTATCAACATGTCTTACCATGTTTGGGAGGGGAAAATGATTTCTTGATAAGTGAGTTTATTTGCTTTTTGTGTTAAATTAATGCTCATTCAAGTCCAAAGGAATTCAAAGTAAATTCTCTTTTTTGATTTTTAAATCTGATGATAAGTTTAATTGTGATGGTATAGTTTATTATAATATCTTATTTTTATTCAATAGTAACTTGAACCAAAATATACAAATATATATTTTTAAATTTGTATGAAAACATGAATGGTTCAAAGTAGAAATTAAATAGTGAAGTATGTTTTGCCTTGAATATGTCATATGCAAGAGAATAGACTGGTGTTACTTTTTTAAGAACTTGTGGGGTGTTCAAGATGTTTTAGTTGTTTGATTGTATTGGTTCAGTTTATTGTAGAAAAAAATTGTTAATGTAGATTCATCATAGAAAGTGTTAAATATGTTTCTGTTTTATGTTAACTTTTATTGTTTTCTGTATTTGCATTATGGTGCAGAAAGGAGAATTGCCATCCATTTAATTAATTTTTGTTCTTTTTGTCATCCTTTTCTTTGTTTAATGACAGAAAGTTTCAAATGACACAATGAAAACAAGTTACAGTGTCATGGATGACAATAATTTGGTTTGTTTTATGCACTTGACAGTTAAGGTGTAAGTTCAAGGCATTTCTAATAAGAAAAACTCATATTACTGTGAATTGATGCAAGGTGAACCTCTTGTAATTAAATGTTCCTTAATGTGTTTTGAAATTGTCTTGTTTATGGTGTTATACTAGTATGTGTTTGAAAACATTTATAATTTGGGATTAATATTTGCAATATTTGTTGATATGTGGGTATATTTATGTTCAAAACAAGTTTTAAATTTATTTATTTTTAAAATAAGGTTATTTTTACAAGTTTTAGATGTAACAATTTGCATTGGAATGCAGAATGCCAGCCATGCAAATGTCATATTTCCTTTAGTGCTGATACAGTACAAGAAATATTTAATTTGTAATTAGGCCAGTAATTGTTGCCAAATGTTTGATTTGTACTGTGTAAACATCAGTTGTTAGACAGTTTTGTGTTTCAAAATAGTTTCTGTTATTTTTGTGCATGTGAGCCTACTTTTCTTTTGTTATTTTTGTTGGTATCAGACCAGATAAGGTATTATTGTATATGAATATTTCATCAGCTGTTTCCATAAGGTATCAGTTAAAAAACCAGTTTGTACTATATTGAGATGGTCATTCAAGCATTTGTCAAGATGCAGATTATTTCTTGTTATTAATTTTTCTCAAGTAGTAAGTGTGTTGTTACATTTAACCTTCACATGATTTGTTGATGTTTTTGCACACAGCTGATGTGAATGGTCTACAAAAAATCTCAGGAACAAAACTGTAGCGCCACCATGTTTGTTTCTGTCCACGTGAAAATTTTTACCCTGACTCGCTAAGTAGCTCATGTGAGTGAGTCTTGTCAACTTGTAAATTCTGTCTTAACTGTTTGATATAATGAGAATGTGCTCACAATTTGCAAACATGAATGTTTATGTAAACTTTAAAGAAGTGTAGATGGAAATATTTAGTTTTTAAAAATATCCACTGTGAAAAATAAATAAAAATTAAATTTATACCATTATATACCCAAATAATTAGCATTCAATATTAAGGTTATCAGAAAAAATCAGTGTATTGTAAGAAACGCATGGGGAAATTAAAGTGAACCTATTTTGAAAATAATTTTTAATTTTTTTCTTCTCCTTTCACCTAGCATTTCCCTGAGAATCAGGTGCTTCTCTTACAGCACCAAATTTGATACTACAGAGTATACATATACAATGCAATCTATTTCATTGTGAGTGAAAATCAAAGGCATTTTCCCTGTAGGAAATATTTATCGAGCTGGGATGTTTCTATTATATAAGATGTGAGGAAAGACATATTATCTATGTCTTAACTGAATATTAAATCTTTTTTCTTCTGGACTGCGAGTTTCTTGTATCTCAGAAAGCGTTATTTTCAATAATTCTTTATCATTAGTTTCAGAAATTCATCCTTTAATTATGATGTTATTCACCATCACATAAAAATGGTTTCAATGCAATTTTCCCCTTCAAATAAACAATTCTGTACTCCACTGAAAATGAACTGTGTGCCATAGGCTGATGTTAAAGTATCAAAATTTTTAGGTCTCTCAGTTCAGTAACACTTCAAATGTAATGTCCATTTATAAGAATTGAACACAAATTTAGTTAATTATACTATGTGTTCAAAATTCTTTCAAATTTAGTCGGACTTCACACTGCTTAGTGTGTATTTTTCACAAATGTTCATTTCCACCTGAGATATGACATATTTTGGCAAAATACATCATATAGCTTTCAGACTTCTTTTTTATTTATTCATATAAGAGAATATGCAATCGGCCAATTACAAACTATAAGACATATAATACAACAGAATAAACAATAATCATTTATAATTAGGATTTTTATAATATTTTTGATACAAGTCCCGGAACAATCGAGATCGTCTTCCTTTACAGGTTAGGCATACTATCTGTTCCAATCTCTTTGTATCTCATTCTTGGCCTTCCAATGTTTATCTTTCCTCTCAGCTTATAATTCAGGGCTTACACTGGAAGTCTCTCTTGCGACATATTTCCAATATCTGTCACCCATTGCCAGGGTTGATTTAGAAACCAATTTTGGGGGAGGAAATTTGTATGTGTGTGTGTGTGTGTGTATAAACACACAAATATTATATTAATTATAAACAACATAAATTATTTATCATCAAATGCTTTTAACTAAGTCATTTGAAGCGCTTCCACTCACAAATGCAGTAGTGCATACAAATTGCTGGAAATGTGCATATTAAGGGCATGAGAAAAATTTTAAGAAATAAAAAAAGAATACAGCAAAATGACTTTTATGCCATCTTAAATAGTGAAATTAGCTCTATCCATATGAAAAGTTTGAAGAAAAATTTGGAGTCGTTTTTGAGAAAATGGCATTTGAGCGTTTCTGAAAATGCAGAATTTTGAGCTCGTTTTCACAGACATATATTTAGTTTTTGAGAAACTTAATACAACATTTTTTAAAGCACATTTACTTGTAAAGCAATAATGTGAACAAATCGCCGCTAATGCAAATAATATCGACGTGAGAAAAGTTTAAAAAAATAATTTTTGTAATTTTTTAAAAAACAAAAGAATAGAGCAACATGGCGTTTATGTCATCTCATAGAGTACATTTAACACCATCCCTACCAAAAGTTGAAAGAAAAAATTATAGCCAAATTTGAGAAAATATTGTTTGTTCTTTTTAAAGTGCACTGATTGCACGCAATAATGCGCGAAAACTACTAAAGTTTTCAAAAAAATGTACATGACCTTAATGAAATAACAATGGCTAAAAAATTTTCATGTGAAAGAAAAATCTCTATTTTCAATTTTGTAGTAGTAGAAAGTCGCCGAAAAAAATCAAACTATTGTAATAATCGAAACTGAAGAGTTAACGGGGAAAATCGGACCTATGCCACCTTTATAAGTGTATTTTACTCTATTCTCACAAGAAATTTAAAGAAAAATCAGGAGCCGTTTTTGAGAAAATTTTGAAAATGTCCCTGGGGTTTCATGTAAAATACCTTCAAATATTAATGAATACTTTTCAAACTCGCAGAGCTGCAACTCAGGCCAGATCGACAGGGGTTTCTTCAATTTGGGAAAAATCTACGCATGGTTTAGGCGTAGTGTTGGTCACATACATCGAACAGACGGTCGTTTTTCCGTCAATCGATTTTTCGGTATCAAGGACCCACAAAACATGGATTCCGGCTACACCACTTGATAGAGGATTCTTTTCCTAATTTAGCAACTGGATTTATCTACTTTTTCGTTATCAGGGCCCGGTAATAAACGTTTGTCTGACGGAAAATCGCAGTTTTTTCGTGCAGAGTTACAGAACTTTCTCTTTACTGCGAGATTGGTAGGGAGAAAGTAATAGTAATAATTTGTAATTTGTAAATATGTAAATTTGTAAATTTGTAAATATGTAAATTTGATGTTTGTAAATTGTAATCGTTGAATTCAAAGCTTCAAAAGGACGAAGGATTAGGGTATAAAATTTTCCGCTCTATGATACAATGTGAATATATAGAATTTAAATAAAAACGATTCTGATAGCGATTTACAAATTAAACATTCGTTCACATACAAACATTACAGCCCAGGACTGAAGGAAGTGGACAGAATTGCATAAAATGTTTCAAGCTATTGTACTTATTCTTTTCATTAGATTTCTTTCTCGTTTCTCCTTATTCATTTTAGATATTTTCTTTCTCTTCTTCAGTACGTATTTCGGCCATGGGCGGATCCAGCCGATCGTTTTGAAGCCGGCCATCGTAGATTTTTTGTTAAATAATAAACATTTACTATTATATTGTATATTATTTTGTAATGTATATATGATACTATACAATATTATTTTTAAATAATTACTTAATTCTAATATAAATAAATATTTAAATCAATTTTGGCAAATAAGAGAAAGTAACAAACCAAAACTCTAGGCCTTTGGGGGAGGGACGTGCCTTCCCCCTCCCTGGATCCGCCACTGATTACCGCACCGTCTCCAGGCGCATGCAAGCGATCCATGCCCTAAGGCCCATTCACAATGTAAACGTAAACATAAGAATAGGGCATAGACATAAACACTGACATAAGTGATAGACTGAAGTATTCACAATGTCTAACATACACGTAAGCTTAATAAGAGTTCCTATTGGCTGTGAGGCATTCTAGTTTACTACTGGATGGATGTGAGAATCGATTTGAAGGTATCGACTGTGTCCATGATCCATATGGCGTTAGCTCTTCTATCGACTTCGCTCCAATTTCGATTCTTGATTTAGAGTTACCGTTCTGCGATTGGTTTATTTCTTATGTCTTACTTAAGCATAAGCACAGAAGCTTGAATCTTTTAAGTAAAGGTCTTACATGTTATGCTTATGCAAACGCATTATGAATTAGTCCGTTTAGAGACGTAGTCCTAACTTTTATCTTAACGCCATACTTAGGTATATGTTTGTATTTGAATGGGCCTTTATTCCTGTTGCGGACACACTGTAATTGCGCGAAATGACAGAGCGGCCCACCATCACAGAAAGAGACCTTATTCTGTCAAGACTGTTTCCGGTTCCGTCGGCCCTACTCGAGCACGTGGAAGTCGTCTTTGTAGCGGTTTTCAACCGGAGTAAGAAGAAGATATGAGCTCTCACCTCTGGAGAAGTCGAAAACACTTTCCATACGTACCACTGGGCTAAAATACACCGAGAATCAGCAAGAATTCTCATTCGTAACTAAAAGGTTAAGGACTGAACGCGCGGTTACTTTATCGATACATTGTCGACGTTTCTACAATTTTTTCTTGTGTTCTTCGTTGTGCACCTTCCTTCTTCGTTCTTCCTGTACTTTTACCTTTTAATTTTTTCTATAGTCCTTTTTTTTGCATGCCCCGTGTCATTTTTCTTTGCTTTCAGGGGATTTTAAGAGTTTTTATTGATCCTTTTTGGTGGTGTTTTAGGTCATCAAAATCCACCCGCTAGTTATATTTCCCCATTCGAGTGATACTATCAAAATACCCGACAGTGTGATCGATAAATTAAGAGTTTTTTTTATTCAACATGTTTTGGTCGAAATTTCAGTAATATACCTCCTATTTTGGGGGGATTTTAATGCATTATCAAGTCTACCATATCTACATTTCATATCTAACATATCTACATTTCTTTTTGTTATTTTTTCTGCATCCATCATATAAATTTCTTCAATCCCAGTCCATAATTTGACAAAGTAGTCAAATCACTTGCAATTTCCGGGAAATTATATTCAATCTTGCCACATCTGTTTCTTCTAAATTCATTGTTTTTAACATTTTATAGGCTATATATGTCTTCTGATTACATCATGTTCTAACATATTCACATATCTATCCCAAGATTCTTGATGGCCTTGTCTCACTAATGATATAGCTTTATTCCATTTTTGGTTGTAGGTCTGTTTAGTCTGCTTGTTTCTGCTTCCTATAAGGGAGGCAATTTCTCGGTTTCTCCTACCTACCTATAAGGGAGCAGTTGACAGCTGTCATCACGTTTTGATATATCCATCTGTCAGTGCCCATTAACTACCCTCGGGTCGAACAGATGGATCGTATAACTCGGAGGCTCCTGATCCTTAGGCTTTCCTCCCCATTTCCTGCACACTGGGGTAGACAGGTCTCTTCAGGTGAGGTAAAACCAATCAGTGTAGGGGAATAAACCCTAAATAAATTCTGCCAGTTTGGAGACAATCCCTCTACCGCACTCAATGTGCGCAGCACCTGTAATGCGGCCAGGAGATGTATTCTTCTATTAACAAGCCTTAAGAAAAGAAGCCTGACTGATTTGATGACAACTAAACCAAATGAAAAATGTTGAAGCAAATGGGAATATCAGATGTACTAAATGTACGAGGGTTGCCTTTTATATTTCAGGATTAGAGAACAAAAACAAATATTAATAATTGAAAATCACTTATTTGTTTTTCAAAATATTTCCCATGAAGATCTATACAGTTTTGCATGCCTTTGAACCAATTTTCGAAGCACTTTTGCCACTCTGATGGAGGTATCTCCAAAACATGCATTCTGAATGCAGCAACCGCTTCTTCAGGTGTCGAAAAACGTTGACCTCTCA